ATCTGCAGGATGGGATGCTTACTAGATAAGCAGCTTATTTTACTCAAAGCACTTTGCAGAGGAACAATCTTCATGTTGACATGTTTAATAATTAATAAATAACCTAACCTCACATCAGATTTATTTCTTGAGACCAGAGGTGGGACCAAGTCATTGTTTTGCAAGTCTCAAGTAAGTCTCAAGTCTTTATCCTCAAGTCACAAGTCAAGTCTCAAGTAATGTCAGGCAAGTCAGAGTCGAGTCTCAAGTCACTGGTGTAAAAGTCCGAGTAAAGTCACAAGTCTGAAACTTTGAATTTCAAGTCCTTTTGAGTCTTTAAAAAAAAAGAAAAAAAAAAGAATGTTGCAGTTATGCTAAATATAAATATTAGACCATGTAATTTTTAAATCTGTGTTTTTCTCAACACATGATGAAATAGTGAACTTAGAAAATATACACAAATTGTGAAATTTCACCTCAATTAAACTTAGCTCCAAGAATAATTCTTGAAGTCAGCTATCTCATCGTAGCAAAAGAGAAGGACCACCTACTGTTCTTTATGCAACTTTAACTGTCGGAGAAAGTTGGAAGTTGTTCCATCTCTGTCTGTGATTCTCTTCTTGCATGTTTTGCATATTGCATTTCGGTTTTTTGTTGACTACTTCATAGACTACTTGCAGCATTTTTGAGCGATTTTTTTCTTCTTTTTTTTAAAAAATCTGGTTAATTTGATTGGCTGTGCTACAGCTCACGCACACATACGTATGGAGTGTGGTTTGAATAAATGAATGAATGAATTGAATTAATGGTGCACACTTTCTATATAATATACGTGTTAAATTTTATATTTGGGGTGAAATATCGAAGTCTTTTCAAGTAAACCGGTTCAAGTCCAATTCAAGTCCCAGGTCATTGGTGTAAAAGTCCAAGTCAAGTCACAATTTTTTCAAGTCAAGTCTAAAGTCATAAAATTAATGACTCGAGTCTGACTCGAGTCCAAGTCATGTGACTCGAGTCCACACCTCTGCTTGAGACGTTTACTATAAATTGGAATTATTATCATTTTTATT